TTTGTGACCAGTTTAAAGTTTGAATAACGATTTTGTTGTGAAATCAGTCTGTAAATCAAAAACTGCAGTAAAAGCAGAAGAAAAATGGGTGAATAACAAAGTCGGTGCTTTGATGTTCAAAATGAAGCTCAAACAAAAAAAAATAAAAATAAAAATAGATAATAATCACTAAACTACGTACTAATACAAGTTTATGCACATTCTTCATGTAAGCTTTTTGGAAAAATATAAAAATCTCCCAGAGTCCAGTCATCAGCCTTTTGTTTAACAAACCCAATGATCCATGAGAGCTGCTCTGGCAAAAGGGGGTGGTGTGTGTGTGTGTGGCAGAGCCTATTAGGGATTATATATATATATATATATAAAATGTTTTTTTTTTCGAGAGGGGGCAGGTTGACAGTATCGGGGTCAGGATAGACGTTGCGACTCTGCCAGCCCCAGCGCTGTCTCCTCACCTCAACTCAGTGGTTTGAATATTTTCAGGGCAGACGGGATGTGACGGGTCTGAAGAGTCACATGACAACATGGAGTAGAGTAATGAGCCGTGGCTGCCACGCTGCTCTGCTTTGTCGTGTGTTACTGTACAAGCAAGGCAGGGTGTGGCTGAGGCCGGACAGTGCGCTTTACACTCTGTGCATTGTTCCTCTTGTGATATCAGAAATGACTAATGTGATTATAGAGCGTTCGTTTTAAACGTTTTATTCATCCACATCTAGTGTTTGACAAGAAGTTTAGATTTCCCCACGTATGTCTTTTTGCATCACAGCTCAATTCCCCTCCCACCATGTTTCCAAGTAGAAACATAAAAAATGACAAAGAAACCTTGAATCTTTGATGTTTGGTAGCTTGGCTCACCAACCAGATGGATGGTTTGACAGAGGAGTAAAATACATTAAAAAAACAACTTTAAGCAGAGGAGCAGGTCTCAGATCTCAGCTTTATGAAGGCCAGGTTAAAGTTGCACTTTGGGTGCTCGCACAGGGTGGAGGTTTTTAAACTTGACACTAAGTTGTTGTAGTATTCCCCAAAAGGACAAGTGGCAGAACATTTTATAACCTGTAAAACGTTGTAAACAGGAGAGCAAAAGCATGATGGACAAACTCATTTTTTAAGGGGTGCATGGTGCATCCAGCCTTAGTGGACTTAACCAAGGTAGGTCAACAATTTCCACTCAGCTGAGCTGAGTAAAGGTAAAGCAACTTTCCCTTTATAAATAAATGTGAACGTTGCTTTACCTTTACTCATCTCAGGTGAGTGGAAATTGTTGACCTAACTTGGTTAAGTACATCCAACAATCTGTTTTTGAGTGTAGATTAAATAACAGAATCAGCTGAGAAGTCCACACCCTCCAGTTTTTTTACTGAACTGAAAGATCTCCCCAGATTAGAAGCAAAAATCTTTATCTACATAAATCCTGCTGATGCTCAGCTATTTCTACACAAAATCTTAGTTCAATGTCTAAAACTAGACACCGTGTAGCAGTAACATAATGACCCACACACACACAAATGCACCAGAACTCAGAAGTCTTTATTCCTAATAAATGTCATGCTACTAGATGCATCCCAAAATTGTAGTGGTTTGAGTGGGGGTCTTTTTTTTTGGGTGGGGGGCATTGGTTGGGCTGATCAGCCCCTCATCAGAGCTAAATAACCAAAGAAAATCTGAAGCTTCTATATTTAATAGTTTTTGAGCTATAACCATTTTTGTATGTCCAGATACCCCTTTTTCAGATAAACTGGGGGTCTGGGGGCACTGACTGGTGGGCCTGATGGGTAGAGCACAGTTTCTGAGTTATAAGCGTTTTTGCATGTTCAGACACACTCTCCTTGAAAGGAGCCCCCTCCTCAAATATGGGGTCTATGGTAAAACGTTGGCTGGTGCAGTGTAGGTCAGACTCATCTACAGTCCTGACAAATTTCATGTTGATTGGTGCAGCCGTTTTTGTGCTACGGTTGACCAAAAATCACTGAAAATAAAATAAAACAAATAAATTAACCACTTTGCGTGCGGGGGTCATTATTAATGAAATCCTTGTGATTTTATATATAAATAATTGACAGTGGAGCCCATTTTTAACCAGTTTGATTCCAAAAGTTTCTCAGTTGTAGATAAGTTCCAAGTGGTTTGTGAAATATTTTGCTGACACTCAAATAAACACACCTTCACTCCATGGCAGCAGGCGAAATGAACAGAAACCAAAACTGAACGACAGCAGGTTTTATTGTCACTGTTTCTCATTGAGGGTTTTCCTGTTTGTCTGCACAACGTGAGAAGACAAACACAAGGAACTTCTCCCAGTTCTTCTCTTTTCCAGCAGAAGCTGACAGAGTCGCAGAAGAGGAGTTTTCAATGAAGAAATGCTGAAACACTTTTCATTTCTCTTTTCTTTGTCAGACCACAAACAAGGAAGAAGGTTCTGTGCAGATGTAGGTTCTGATTAATAACTTTTTTTTTGTTTCTTTTGTACAAAACCAGTTTGGTATTGTGAGATGTATTTTGTGAAGTTTAAAGGGTTTATACAGTTTCAGTAACTTATTTCAGATTTATTTTATTAAAAATGATTCATCTGATGGAAGTTTAGTAGCTAAATGTTCTGGTATTTGGTTCCACTTCATGTATTTCTGTTTCCATCTTTTTTTGTTGTTGTTGTTTGCCTTCCAGTAAGTTTTGTCAAACTTTTTGTTTTTAGTCAAATATAACAATATTCAACTAAGAGTCTGAAAAACCAGGAATCATTTTCAGTCTCAGCCGTCCTTGTGCAGAAACCAGTCACAGATAAAACTTTAGGACCCGTTTTTAATAAACAGTCGATCATGTCAAATAAACACAATATTTCAGAGCTGATGAGGACTGACCGTAACAACGCAGCTCTGCAGCTCACAAACTAAACAAACATTTAATGAACGGGTTGATGCACTTATTTGTTTTCCCCAATGATTACCTAAAACAAACAAAACACTTGGATACGAGACAAAAAAAAACATTCAGCGAGCTTGAGTTGAGACAAAGAAAAACATACTAAATCTGAAAGAAACAAGTTTCATTTTTCCCCACATTTCAATGAAAATTGCCCAACAAAATATTGAGATATTAAAAAAAGGTTTTCCTATGACTTTAAACTTTGTTTGAAATAAACTGCAGAGATCTTAATATTACATGTGTGCTGTAATAGGATGATTCCTTTTAAAACAAAGGCCTAGCGTTCTTTGAAGGAATGCATTAATGCCAGAGTTCATCTTATGCTAAGAAAAGATGGCGTTATAGCTATTTTTAAATTTTTTTTGACAGTAGAGTTATGTGTTGGGAATGATGCTCAGCTGCTGCCACACCAAACTGGAGGCCAATATATGTAAAAATGACTGAACTAAAGACATTTTTGTGTTGACTAAGGGTAATCATGAGCAGTCTCCATCTTAAATTGAGCTGAGCAGAAGACAATCAGTTGTAGATGTAATTCTAATTATTAGTTTTTGAGTTTTAAGATGGGTATTATTCCATGAGGTTTGTGGCTAACAGACAGACATGGACAAAAGAATTATAGTTGTTTTAATCGATGGATAATAATTTGTTTCACCCTCTATTTAGACTCATTAAATGAAAAAAAAAAGAAATTTTTTCTTGTCTGAAGTTTGGACTTGAAGCATTTTTATGACAAATTTATTGAAATAAACTCATTAAACTTTATAATTTTTAAATTACTCGCACTATAGTTTGAAAATATGTTTTATGTTTAGGATATTTTCTTATCTCTTATTTAAAAGAGAAACAGTCTTCCCCTGCTGTCTTGTTTAATGATAATGGATAACTTAATTGCCTCTAATGTGACAAAACTGTAAGATCTCGTGGTCTGTTTTATAAATGTTTCCCAAAATCATGATAAAAATGATCTGAAAACTAAACTGTTGGTCCCACTCCACTGTTAGATAAATACTACACTCTGCTGTCGTTGTGCCTTCAAAAGCTCCAACTTTCCAAATTTTCACCTTCAGTTTCAGTTTTTGACCCATTTTAAAACCGTTAGGGTCGATACTGTCTGTTCTGTAATTGAAAGGATGTGGGGTTGCCGGTTCCAAACTGTAGTGGGCCCGTTGGGCCTCCAAACGGAGTCCTGTAGCTCTGAGATGAAGCGAGTCCAAACCCGGCCCCCAGACCCTGCACACCGAGTCCCAGTCCCACCCCTGGTCGCATCAGACCCTGACCCAGCATCCCCGTGTATGGCGCCGATCCATAGGTGAGGCCCAGGCCTCCGTAGGGGTGGTGGGCGGGGTGACCCGGAGCGGGCATCACCAGCGGCTGAACATTCCTCCCTGGAGTGTCAAACGAGAACTCTGGAGGGGGGCTGCTGGGTTTGGAGGGGGTCGAGGTCAGCGGGTCGAATTCTCCTCCAACTGAGGGGAACAGAGCCGGAGGGAAAGAGGATGAGGAGTAGCCCTCATTAGGTAGCTGGGAAGATGCAGCGGATGGGGAGGACAGAGTGCCGCTCAGAAGAGGTCGGGTCCAGTCATCTTTAAAGATCTGCACCGTCAGTGTGGACACGAGCGGCAGCAGGCGGTTGGTAACATGGGCCAGGACCAGCTGTTCGTTGGCATCCCGGCGGATCCGAACATGGGCAGAGCCAGCCTGAAACACAAGTACACAAGAGTTCTTCAACTTTAAAAGACAAATAGACCACTCTTATTACCATTATAATAACAATACACTATAAAAACATTATATTTAAATCTTTTTCCTAATTGAAAGGGAGGTGGAATGCTATTGACCTGATCATCAGGCAGTGGAAGAAATGTTTCAAGGACCTTTTCTCTCACAACAGTACACCTTTCAGGGAGGAAGCTGAGTTCAGGGGTTTGAAAATGGTCCAATCATAAATAAGGCTGAGGTTGCAGAGGTAGTTAAAAAGCTCAGAGATTCACCCTGAGATTCTTAGGGCTCTAAATGTTGCTGGTCTGTCTTGGTTGACACGCTTTAGCAACATTCCAAGGACACCAGGGGCAGTGTTACTGAATTAGCAGATTTGGATGGTTCCATTTTCAAAAAGATGGGACACTGGATAATTATTGACCCTTGCTAGAGTCTTTAAGGGAGCACGGGAGTTTGCCCAATCAGTCTACCTGTGTTGATTTGAAGAAGACTCCCAATCCCCTTACTGAGGGTACCTGAGTAGCCTGTAACTTGTGGCTTGTACCAAAAGACCCCGTCAGATACCCTGAGTAAGCGTATTGGGGGAATTTTGGTACAAGCCATTTAGTTTCTTTACAACAGGTGAGAGACTGGTTCATATTACTGGAAATGAGTTGAACCTCTTCAAAGTTATAGGGTTAGTTTCTGGTTGTCAAAGAATCTGTTAATATTCATGGACAGGATTTTTTTAATGCACCCAAGTTGCGGAAGACGTCTGGTTTGGTGACTGCAGGATTCTGTCTCTGCTATTTGCAGATGATGTGCTCATGGTGGTGTCAATGGCTGTGATCTTCAGCTACTGGAGTTTGAACAGCTGGGATGAAGATCAACACCTCCAATTTCGAGGCCATGGTCCTCATTCAGAAAAGGGTGGATCCCTCATCCTCATCACTGTTCTCGTGTATTTATTTGCTCTTCCAAGCTCTCCAGGAAGGGAATGAGACGCTGCCTCATGTGGAGAAGTTCACCAGTGAGGGAAGAATGCAGCCTGAGATAGACAGACCTGTGTTTGCATTCTTTTGGTCACTACCCAAAATCCGTGACTACAGGTGAAGGTGGGGAACGTAGATAGACCAGTGAACAAAAAGCTTTGCCACAAAGGGCCATCACACAATATTCAATACTGTGAAAGTCTCACTGATCTGTTGATCTCACAGCCCATTCATCCCTCACTCATAAAAAAACCCCAGAGACACTTATACTTCTCTACTTGAAGCTTCACATCACTTCCAAGGAGTGAGTAGTGGATGTTGTAGCAAAGTGACTCCAAGGTCAGCCCATGCAATGCTCAGAAATGACACACAAACCCAGGACCTCCATCTCAAGTTAGCAGGTTAAAAGTTAACTCATAACAGGACAATTAGAATTAGAACAAGACTAAAATGTATGACTTATTTAGAAGGCTAGCATGAGAAAATCTCCTCTCTTAAAAGAACATGGCAGCACAACTTGGGTTTCCAAAAGATTAGTCTGAATATACAAGACTTTTGGAATAGTGTTCTTTGGACAGATGTTAGCATAAATATTTTGTACCAACTGTCCAGCATGATGGTGGAGGGCTGACAGTTTGTTTTGTTTTGGGAGCCACAGGACCTGGACACTCTGCAGTCATTGAGTCAACCACGAACTCCTCTGTAGACCAAAAGATTCTAGAGTCAGACATGAGGCCATCTGTCTGACAGCTGAAGCCTGGATTGAACTGGGTCATGATGCAACAGAATAATTATCCCCAAAACAATTTAATCTTTTTAAAAACAAAAACAAACAAAACAAAATAAAATAAAAACAAATCTACAACAGAACGGAAGCTATGTTGGAAAGAAGAGAGGGACTAAATTTCTAAACAATCGTGAGAAACTGAGTCCTACAAATGCCATTACTGAAAGTTATTGCTGCTAAAAGCTACTGGATCCTGGGGTGGACTTTGTTTTTCACAAACAACTATTGCATCTTTGTTTACTTTGTGCTTAATAAATAAAGATATGATGGAATCTCATGTTTGATGTTGTACAGTTGAGGTTAGAAACTGGTAAAAATGATTATTCGTTAATAATTCCTGATTGAAAAAAAATCCAAGAACAGAAAAATTGGAGATTTTCTTTATCCTGTGACTGTAAATAAGGATGAACAGATGAAACTAACTGGGTGAAGGAGTGTGAACATTTTAAGTTAAAAGCATTTCTTTTATTCATCATGTTTATTTAAAATTCAGCAAATTTAAATGGTTCAGAGTTTTTCATCTAAAAGAGCACATTTATGTCAACCTTTAACTTCAAAGTTTGACCTTAAAACACCCATGTGATGTCTTTGTTCCTTGTTTTTCTGTCCTAATGGGAACACTGAGACATAGAAAGGACAGAAGCACAGAGAGCGCGAGCGAGTCGGCCCGAAGGGCAGGAGTGCAGTCAGAGGGTCAAATCAGTTTGGACAGCTGCTCTGTTTGTAGTGGGCCAACAACGAGCACTTGTGTAACTGCAGCAACATCACACATGACAACAACGAGGGACGGGGCATCGATAACACATACAAACAATAAAAACAGAAGCAGAGTAAACAAACATAAACAAAGGATGCTGGTCCACCTGGAGGCAGCAGAGGGAACTGCAGTAGCTCTAACGCTGAGCCTGAAACATCCAATGGGATTAAAATGTTTAGAATAAAATGTCTCTGACAGCAGCTTTATTTGTGCTTCAAGCTCAGAAGCTAAAATCATGTCAAATAAAAAATTAAATTCTCAGTCTAATAGTTTGTCTTCTTGTTAATTATTACTGTTGCTCTGGGATTATCTTCTTTTTGACTGTGACAAGCTATTTTCGGGGGAAAAAATGTTCCAGAAAACAGATTTTCCAAAAATAAAGGAAGTTTTCACAACTTCAATGTAAGATATTTGTGTTTGCTTGTGTTTCCCGGACCTGTTCTGGCGATGTGAAACCCAGCTGTGGTTGTTTTTAAACACATATGACAATATCCCAACTGACTCAGTGGTAACATTGTTCTCTCACAAATCTTTGGAAGGCGAGCAGAGAGAATCTCCGCATGAATGACTTGTTCCTTGTTTTCAAGTGGGTGAACAAACTCCTGCAGCTTGAGCTCTGATCTGATAAATGACGAAGACAAATGAATGAGACACAGGACGGAGGGAGGAGGAGAATCGGAGAACAAAAAAGCAAAAATAAATAAATAAATAAAAATTTTGCACGAATGTTGAGGTGTACTACAGCCTGAAATTTCAACATCTATCAACCTTTCTTCTATAAAGCCCAGCAGTAGCTTGGGATTTCATTTTGTTACAAACTAAGCTATGACAGAGATAGACTCTTATTTTGAAGGGTATCACTGAGCTTTATTTTGAAACTTCAGGTTAGAATCACATTATCACCTTTAACTTTTTTTTAAAATCTAGAATCCAACAGAGACTTTTATTCAGCTTTCCTGAACATAAAAGCTCTAATCAGGACAAAATTATTACAAATTTACAAGATTTATGGAAATGGCTGGAAAAAAAGAACTGCATGGGGCAAAAACCTCTTGTGGGAATGTGTAAATTTATATTTATCTACAGTGTTTTATATAGGAAATATGACCATTTAAATATACATTTGACATCAAGAAGCTTCTGAGCTTGACTACAGTGGAAGGATTTAAAAGAAACCCATAAGACAGGAGATCTCAAACTAAGATCCAGATCTTATTTTTAAAGATCACGCAACAATAAATAAATGAAACAAATTGAACTTTAAGGCAAAATGACTAACATCAAAATGGTTTTGATAAAAACTGCAGTTAAAACAGTCAAAAATGTAAAATAGTGTGAAACTTTACACTGTCTGCCATCACTTACCTGCCTGTTCCTTTGGAAAAGAAGGTGTTTCTGTCATTCACAGCTTAAACCTAAGGCACCACATGTACTGGCTCCCAGTGTCCCAAAACATTTCGTAAATATAATAAAAATTGTGCTGAACCAATGCATTACTACAATAACATGTAGGATGGGTCAAGACTGAATTATTGTGTGGTCAGGATCTGGATCAGAGTCTGAACTTACTGGAGTGTTACTGGTTTAAATATAGTGCATTGGCACCATTTTTAAAGTTAAAACAAAACTTTTTTAAAAAAAGTTAAATCTGTTCATAAACGTACCAAAGATCCAAAACCAACAGTCCAGAAGTGCTCGTTTCGAACCTCCAGAACTCCATCCAGGGTTGACACCTGATTGGAACACAGTCAGCGTGAATAAAGATAAAAAAAAAAACATGGTTCTGTTTCTCAAAAAGTAATTTGGACAAGATTACAATAATAATGTTTAACATGAAACATGATGAGCTAAACTTCAGATAAATCTTTGTTTCTCCTCTCACCTCTCTGAGAAGTTTGTCGAGCTGACCGATGATGTGGGACGGTGTGGTCTGTGCATGAGAACAACATTAGTAATCACACAAGCACCAAAGGTGGGTTCAGGGGGAACAGAGGTGTTCATCTCACCTGCAGCAGAACTTTACCACTGTACACGCTCATAGGATACATTGTGCCAAAGGTCATGAGGGCAATGGCGATGGCCGATGCCGTATCCACAGCATTGTAGTTACTAAACATAAAACACAGGTTCAAAATGTTTAATCATCAGAACGTAAAGAGCAGAAAAAATAAGTTACAGATCCCTTAAACCATTGAATTTCCCAATTTTATAAATCCTGTTCATTCTGGAACTTCTCAGGAAACATTTTTGTTTTAGTGGAGTTGTGGATCACAAGCCTTTAAAGCCCCAATTTAAAAAAAAAAAGCAACTCTAGAGTCAGTGTAGCAGTTTCGTGGAAGGTTTGGGGAGATTTCTAGGACAGAGAGAATAATCCTTACTTGATCTCTATTAGCATGTAGGTGATGCTGAGGGACAGAGCTCCTGCCAGGTTAATCAGGACAAACGGGTTCATTCGAGGCAGCAGCACATTGCTGAGACCTGGTACGACCCCGCACAAACTGTAGAAACACACGGAGCAGAGGAAACAAACAAAAACAGGATCAAGACAAATCATTACTTCTCATAAAAACTGGTTTTACGGAAATGCCCAAAAGCCTTTGGAGAACAGTTAAAATCTTGTGTGTTTCTATTTGTTGCAAAGACGACCAGTAACAGTGTCTTCTCTTTAACTCCTTTCTCAAGACGCTGTCCGTTATTTTTGTCCCACTGCAGAGTTGCCTCCAGAGGAACACCTGTGGAGCTGGTAATGGTTTGGCATTTTGTTGGAAGGCACTTCAGCAAGAAAGAATGTTTTAATGAGATCTGACAACATGACGTGTGACACGCAAAGACATGAGACCACACGTAGCATTACAGGTTGAGGGCAGTTTTTTTTTGTGACAGCAGCATGATCAAAATGTCCAGACTGATTTAATCAGAAGGACTTGACTGCTTTTGGTTTAATTGATACAGTAAGCATATCAATAACTCCTTAGACATGAATTGAGACCAAATAAGACACTGAAAATGATTCTAAACACACCATTACCATTTAAAAATGTACTCTATTATGACCTCAAACATAATTAAATTTTCCAAAATAAATGTGTTTAAAATAGACAATAAATAACTAGAACAAAATCTCTCAATCTGTAAAACTTTATATTCAGCAGTTGGTTTGAAAGAGGATACTCTGTCATTACTAAAGAACTGGATGTCTTCTCAGAGGTAATAAACCAACAAAGCAGACACTCTTTATGCAACACTTGAAGATAGACCTAAATACAAAACAAAAACTGCAGCTAATCTGCAGAATGTTAATTACTCTTCACACTGGATGACAACTTTGCAACAATATAAACAAACAGGCCATGGGTGACGGTCAGATGTACCTATATATATTATATACCTATGGTAGCAGCATTGTGTTGGTGTGGTGTCTGGTCTGAGCGTGATGTCAGGGTCAAAGACATGGTGCAATCATGGGTTTATTTGGAAGCAATAAAGGTGTAGGAAGAAATCTCAGTGATGATAAAAAAGTACAACTTCTGTTTAGTGTGTACTTCAAGTGAAGTAGAATCGTGTTGTATCACGGTGAAAGAGGTTTTCCAATTTTTCTGCAACTCAGCAACATTTTAATAAATCTTTTGTCATACCTTCACAAAGTTGTCATCCTGAATGAAGCGGTCTTTAGATAAAATCAACAAGCCTGAAAAATATTTTGGAAAAAACACAAGAAAACTAAACTATTTGGTATAAATAAGAAGTTTGGAGAAAGAGGAAGTCTGGCCAACCTTTTTTCAAAAGAATGCCAAAATGAAACACTATCTAAGGGTTGTGGGCCAAATGAAATAAAAAGTTTAACTCTAATCCTAACCAAATGCAAGTAATGTCCTTTTGTGTTTCTATGATTAGGCTAGCAGCCATTGTGGTGGCCCACATTTTTTTGTTTTTTGTTTGTTTTTTTAGCCCGTGCACTTGAAGAACATTTGACGTACGTTTGGGCAACAATGGCTCATGGGACATTTCATAAATGGATGAATAATTGTGGTCTCAAATTGTGCAAATCTACATGTGTGGTTAAATCTAATCTAAATGTCTTGCAGTTACTTGTATTTCTTGTTTAATCTTAATATAATTCAAAGATAAAATATGCACCATGAGTGAAGACTATCTGCACTACAGCCAATTATATAGCCAATGGGCCTCATGCAAGAACATGTTCGTATTCTTATCCTAAATTTCTCTTACTTTTGTTCGTATGAAGGGTTCGTACGAACATGTCACGTCAGATTCAACAAACACTTCTATCTTCAGGAAAAGTGTGTAAAGTGTGTAAATGAGCTGCGTAAATTCCACCTGTTCTATCCACGGTGCGCAGCGCTGCGGCTTCTGAATAAATGAAAATGATTTAACACAGTTGTTTATACTTTTAGCAGCTCTTTTTATTCCACAGCTGACCTGCTAAAATGACAGATTTTCTTTTCTGGATCTCTGACAGACGGACTTCAATCTCTGAACTCGTAAAGTTCTTCTTTTTAATTTTCGCTGTCATTTTCATGAATGGACACTTCCTGATATCTGAGGCAGGAAACATAGCCTTATATAGTGTTTTTGGGATGGTAATTATGCTAATCTCCTCTCGCGTGCACGAGCAGCTGGATACGAACAGGTGGAAATTACGCAGCTCATTTACACACTTTTCCTGAAGATAGAAGAGTTTGTTGAATCTGACGTGGCATGTTCGTACAAACCCTTCGTACGAACAAAAGTAAGAGAAATTTAGGATAAGAACACGAACATGTTCTTGCACGAGGCCCAGTGTTTCTACATAGGATGACAGGTGATTACAATTGACAGGCCCCACTTTGGGCACCTCTGGTTTATGTGTGAATTCCCTCTTATCAGTAATAGTGGAGGTGTCATAGTTTGGACCCATTTATTCAGAATTATAACAAAACAAACTGTGAGGAAACATGTCATGCAGGGGACAAAAAGCATCAGCTGAAACTTCTTGATGCTCATATTAAATGCCTAGCATGGCAGAGAAGGACTGGTGGTTTGGGCTTGTTTCGCAGTCATAGGATATTGCGCATCTGGCAGTCTTTGAGTCGACTATGAACTCCTCTGTAGACCAAAGGATTCTACAGTCAAATGTGAGACCATCTGTCTGACAGCTGAAGCTTGGACCAAACTGGGTCATGTGGCAACAGAATAAAGAACCCAAACACAGCAGCAAACCTATAAAAGAACTACTGAAAATTAAAGAAGCAAGGTGTTGCAATAATCTAGCCTAACCTGCAGTGCTGGCTCTAGGCATTTTGGTTCCCTAGGCGAGTTGAACAAGCCAAGAACAGATTGATGGGTCAATGAAAGCTTCTGTGGGCAAATCCAAGTCACACTGAGTGTCACACTGAATTTCTTAAAATGTCGAAAGCCAACGCTCTGGGGTGTCCTCAATCAAAGGCGTTGAGCGTTGTCACAATAACAGTGCCGTGAGGTGTTGGTCATAAGATAATGTTTAAAAACAAAACAATGGCACGGATGTTGACACATAATTATTGTCAAACATCCAGAGAGTGGTGTGTTTGCCCCAGGCAGGAGGGTCCAATGGAAACAAAGAAGAGGAACCAAGAAGAAATAAAACAAGAACAATTCTGAAGAATTGTTGACGAGTGCGTTGCAGCTACTTCCTGAAACTCTAAGCAACAATCTTTCTTCTCTATAGCTCAATATTAATTTGGAACCATTCTTTGTAATAATCTAAGCTGACAAAATGTGGATGTTCTGGTGTACGAGCCATATAAGAAGTGGAATAAGAAAGATGAAAAGAAATAATTAAGCTGCTGCCAGTGGCTCATTAGGGTCATAGTACACAGCTACTACACAGTACACACAACTGTTTCTGTTGCTTTTGGACAGCACTGTTAATAAGACAGGCAGAAATAAAATAATAGAGGGGGGATTAAGTCTCAAACAAACACAGAAGCATTTGGTCAACACACGTTGAGTTATGTAACATGTTAAGTGGAGGAGTTTAAGTATCTGGGGGTGTTGTTCACAAATGAGTGAGGAATAGAGCGGGAGATCGATAGGCGGATTGGTGCTGCCTCTGCAGTGATGCGGGCGCTGTACCGATTTGCCTTTTGGCTTAGCTCTTGCTTTACCGGTCGGTCTACATTCCTACCCTCATCTATGGTCACGAGCTTTGGGTAGTGACCAAAAGAACAAACTCGCGGATACAAGTGGCCGAAAAGAGTTTCCTCCACAGGGCTCTTCCTTAAGCCGAGTTCACACCAAACGCGTTTTGAGCAGCAAAAATGCACCCAATGCCTCAAGTTGGACTCATTGAAATGCGTTCGGTGTGAACGCAGCAGCAGACTGAATAGGGAGGAGCATCTTGGGTTTTTCTGGTCTGTCTTTAATGATGAGTGAAATAAAGATAAAATAAAGAAAATGGCTTTGCTTTATTTACTAAAGAGCAAGTGAATGTTGCGCACACCAGATAATTTAGAGGCGGTTTGTTCGGTGATATTCACCACTCCAGGAGCTGCGAGCTGACAGACTTTTTTTTTGTCCCGAGCCCAGTTTAACACCACCATCAGTTTAACAAGCCGCTGACCCACATTGATGCTGATATCCCCAGCCAGAACACCAGCTGCAGACAGTTGATTTCAGCTTCAGAGCTCCTGTCCGTCTGTTTCGGGTTCAGGAAACTGTCACGGGGAAAAATTATTCTCTCTGGTTGCTGCGGCACGTCGAGCAGTTTGAACTCGAGAAGCGGCTGCTTTGGACGCATTGCATGCACGGAAAATGCTCTGCCGCATCCTACTGCTACATTGCGCGCCACGCTATACTGGCAAAACGTGCCACGCTGCTCCTAGATGCGCGTCCACCATAGACTTTGCATGTAAACTAGCTGTTTTGGCTGCTCAAAATGCATCCCGTGTGTACCCGGCTTTAGAGATAGGGTGAGAAGTTCTGTCATCTGGGAGGGACTCCAAGTAGAGCCGCTGCTCCTCCACGTCAAGAGGAGCCAGTTGACGTGGCTCGGGGATCTAGTTAGGATGCCTCCTGGATGCCTCCCTGGTGAGGTGTTCCGGGCCTGTCTCACTGGGAGGAGGCCCAGAGGAAGACCCAGGACACGCTGGAGGGACTTTGTTTCTCAGCTGGCCAGGGAATGCCTTGGAGTTCCCCAAGAGGAGCTGGCCCAAGTGGCTGAAGAGAGGGAAGTCTGGGTCTCTGCCTCCACGACCCGACCCTGGATAAGTGGAAGAAAACTGACGGATGGAGGGACATGTTAAGTTTTATGCATCTATAGTGCCTAATTTAGGAAATATGACAAGTTAAACAGATGATTTGCTTTAAGAATAAATCAAACCTCAGATATAAATAGTAAATGGCCTGAACTTGTCCAGCGCTTTATCAAGTTCCTACAGACTCTAAAGTGTTGCATTACGGAAGATGATGTGCACACACTGAAGAGATTTGAGAGAATATCTTAAGTTTTACAGGAGTG